TAACCTTGTGCAGATTATTCAATGTAGAAGTATGAATACTCGCAACAACCGTAATCATCAGCCATCCCCGAAACCTTCTCCGCCTCGTCAGCACTAGGCCCCCTCCGGCCATGGACCTTACTCAGCTTATCATTCAGTTCCAGAGGATGAATGCACCAAACTTTGCGGGGACTGAGAACCCCACAGCGGTGCTGGAGTGGATCAAAGAACTGGACAAGATCTTCGCTGTACTTCCCCTCCCTGACCGTCAACGGGTATCCCTTGCAGCTTATCAGATGAAGGAGGACGCCTCCAACTGGTGGATTGACCACTGGGCCCGGAGGCCAGAGGCGGAGCTTCATGCTCTTACTTGGGAGCAAATGAAGATGATGGTGCGTAGAAAGTTTCTCCCCCAGAGCTTTTGGGACAGAATGGAGCATGAGTTCTACCACTTGTAGCAGGGCAGTTCCACGGTGGATGAGTATGTCCGTACCTTCACCCGCATGTGCCTTTTTGCGGGCGACGCCATGAACACCGATGCCAAGAAGGCCCGCAAGTTCCTCAAAGGACTCAACCAGAGGATCCGTGAGCTGGTGGGAAGTCACGAACAGATGTCTTATGCAGATACCATGAGTAGGGCTCAGGAGGTCGAGAGCTGTCTCATTCTGTTGGCTCTAGTTCCTTCTTATTATCATGCCTCCCAGCCTCCTCAGACCGTTGCCCAGTACGCTCAGCCCATCTCATCTGTGCCACCCGGCTCTAGCTCAGGCAAGAGGAAATCCGATTATCAGAACAAGAAAAAGGGGAAGAAGGGAAATTTCGGCAGACGTGACGACCGACCCATTCAGGGTCAACAGCCGAGGTGCCCTAAATGCGGCAGGTTCCACACCGGAGAGTTCTTGGCAGACCAGCGAGCTTGTTACAATTGCAACTGCCCGGGTCACTATGCCAGTGTCTGCCCCGAACCGAAGAGACAGCAACACCAGCAGGCCCTTCCCCAGCAGCGTCAGCAGCAGTTTCCCCCACCGCCACCTCATCAGCAGCATCAGCAGCCCCCACCGTTCCAGCAGAGGGCTGGGGATCAGGCCCGTGTCTATACCATCACCCACGACGAGGCCGCTCGTAATGCAGGTACCATGTCTGGAATGCTTTCGATGTCCCATGTGCCTGTCTTTGCTTTATGTGATACCGGTGCTACCCAATCTTTTATTTCTTCTTGTTGATTGGAGGCTTTATCTATTAGCACCGTGCATTCCTGTGATCCTCTCGAGGTTAGTCTAGCCTCGGGAAAAATTTTCATCTCTGATTCAGTGGTTCGCAATCTTCCCATCTGTATTGGCGGTCGAGTTCTGGAGGCCGACGTCTATATAATTGATATGCGAGACTTTGACGTGATTTTGGGCGTGGACTGGCTCACCCGTTACCGAG